TGAGCGAAAGCTTTCGACTATCAAAGCAGTCAGCTCGGTTCGTCAACCAAGCCTTTCTTGGTGGTGAATCATACATAATTAGCTCAAAGCCCGGCCCTAAACCCATCGTCCTAAGATGCGACCCTCATGATAGCTATGCGTTGGCCGAGAAGCTATCAACCTTGATCGAGTACCACGGCGCTGAGAATAGCACAATCATATCGCCATCCGTGCGCAAAAACGATACATTAAAACGTTTGACCAACATATTGTCCTGGAGATATCGTGTGCCAATTGCGGTATCACTTGATGACGACGCCCCTCTGGATGACCTTGTCATAGATGGGAAGATGTGTGTTTCCACCATCCACCAGTTTAAAGGTAGCGAGCGCGATCTGGTCATTCTCTTTGGTATCGATTCCTCGTTTTTCAAGTATTTTGGCCGCGATCTTCTGGACGATAGGTGCCCCAATGAAGTTTTTGTGGCCCTGACGCGTGCCGCGAAACAGCTTGTCTTGGTCCACGACGAGGACAAGAAGCTCATGCCTTTTGTATCCGTGAAAGCTCTGTACGAAACAGCAGAGGTTATTAACATGACGAAAAATGTGGCAGAAATTGCACCGCCCGACGCACCCGGCCGCTCTTTGGACCTGGGGCTTACTCTGCCGTCCTCAATCGGCGTCCGAGATATGGTCCGACACATACAGGACGAACCTCTCCATGATATCGTTACTCGGGAACTGTGTATCCGAAAGCTCTCACCACCTCTAGCCAAGAAGGAGCACATTAATATACTCAATATCGTACCTTCTAACGCAGAAAAGAGGTTCTACGAGGCCGTGAGCGATATAAATGGCCTCGTCGTTGTCGCAGCCTTTGAGCACGATCTTGCAGGAACGCTAAATACTCTCGCTCTCAAACAAAGTAAAATTGACCCAATACCGCCAGTCCATTCACAGCAGTATGTCTCTTGGCTTTGTCGACACGCGTGTGAATACGAGGCTTGCCTCTCGGGCTACCTACCGCGTAGTATCCAGATGAAAAACCACACATTCGATTGGATGATGCCCGGAGACCTTGCGCTAGCCCGGAGTCGACTCCGAGAGGAACTGGGAGATTCAGTCGCAAACCTCAAGTTTGAGTTTGCAGCCAAGCAAGAGTTCAGTATTGGTAATCAGAAAACCCAACTTCGAGGTCGAGCCGATATCGCCACGGTTTCCTCCACTTCGGACCGCAACGACGGTGGAAACTTCGAGTCCATCTGGGAGATCAAGTTTGTCTCGCAACTTTCCAACGAGCACGTCGTACAGGCATGCACATATGCCTACCTATTGACCCCACAGTCCGGGAGGGTACCACGCACCATACTCTACAATGTGCGGGACGGAGAGAAGTGGGAGATTACACCGCGCAATGGGCGAAAAGGGCTGCGATGCATGATTAAGAGCGTTCTTAAATCCAAGTATACAACAGTGGGAGAGAAAAAGGATGAGGAGTTTATCGAGATGTGCGATAAGACAATGCTGGAGGTGTTGAATTTAGGTGGTTCACGGCAGTGAATATCTCTCCCTCCTCTAACACTTTCTACTGCGTGGTATTTTCCCAGCTGCTTGAGAATAGAAAACTGCCAATTCTCCATAAATTCGATAGTTACTTTCGCCGGACACCAAACTCGATGCTTCTTATCGAGAGGGCCTGAGTGAGATGCTGTGGACCCGCGCCAACATGATCCTAAAAATGATCAAGACTCTTTCAGCTTTAGGTTCTTCCTGTTTGCATTGCGGGTGATCGCAGACCACGAAGCCATCTCGCTCTATCGTCGTCAGATACTCGCGATCAAAGCGATTATTCATCACAGCCGGACGACGGTATGCGAAAACTCATTCCTTCACAGATAATGACTTCATCGCCGATATATCGCGGACACTGTGTCTTGTTTATGAGAAGAGCAAAGCCGCGCTCTGGAGATTTTTCCATTTATAAAGGCATCAATCTGAGGCATGCCACGGATGCGCTTCCGCTTGGCTATTTCTGGTTCACTATTGAGAGCCACCATGAGCTCTGTGGCTTCTATACGCAACCGACAAAAGGTGTTGAAACTAAGATTATCTGGCTGCTGGCAGAGAGTTTCGGCAAGTCGCGCACGTTCCGGTATGTAGAGGTCCACAACCGGCGCCGTGTCCTCATCTGCCTCCGCCATTTCACAGCACCCTTATTGATGAACTTCCTGGGACTTGAGGATATCACTTTATTTTATCACGGTATCCATTGACATGCCAACCATACAACAAGTCCCCAGCATGGTTCTGATGTTAGCTGGCTGTATTTTACAAAGGGCAGATTGGCAAACTAGACAAAGTGATTTATATTTAGACTCTAGATATATATATGGTCATAGAATTATTGTTTGTACACTGATCTTTCGAGATTGTCTAGCCAGGGAAAGCCCAAATGATATATAATTAGTCCAGACAGCGGCGTAAACATCCCTCACCAAGGAACATGCACCAACAAGGCGAGACTTATATTTTGCGATTCCTAACATACCCTTGCACAAGATTTAGTTTAGACAGACAACACTTAGATGTTAGTTGACACATTTGTCACGTTATTTTGGTATTGAACCTGACTTGATGTTCGAGCATGTAAGACTTTAACGTCTGCGAATAAGGCAACCAGAGTAATTCATTGATGCTAGCCTAACTCGTTCCTGTCGAATGTGCAATCCAGATCAACAAGTCGCCACATCAGGCGGAAGATCACCAACCGTGGCGGCTACCACCCTAACACACAGCAGCCCCAACCAGGTTACCAGGGGATCATTCGTCTTACATCCCACTGTATTCCCCCAACGCTGCACTTGTTAGAAACGGCCTAAGCTTAGGGCGCGAGAAACCGTTTCTTGACATCATCGAAATTGACGGCTATGGACCCCAAGGGCGGGCGATGGAAGCCAACCGCCGACCCTCAACTTGTCCCGCCCTTTTAGACTAGCTTCCCGCTTGTATTGATTTATGCAAGTCTATGCCTCCGAAAAGACGAGTAATCTCTGGTCATCAGTGACACGAGCAAACAAATCTTTATGAATTTGGAGGTGCTACTAAATAAATGAGATGAGATGGCCTATTGGGCTTGACGAGGGCCGAAAGATTAGATGCTTCTGGGAGGGCGACATATACATATACTTGGAGATTTTAGAATGCAGTAATTGATCTTGCTCGTTATGCCTATTTGATTGGGCTCCAATGCATTTTACAGACAGCCCCGATCAATGCCAATTAGGGACCCTTTGGGTAACTTTTGATTTTGTAGATTTCTATTCCTCTAGAGGAACCAAGGTGGCCTCAGAGTGGTCAAAAGTCGTAATACCCGTCCTGATGATCTTCAGCTGGGAAGGGCAATTCGGGTCGGGACATGCGATTAGGGCGTCGGTTGTCATCCAGTCATGCTTGTGGGTCATTCTCTGTTTTGCAGCAAGAAGTGGAAGAACCGCCGCTTTCATGTCATCCTCGTCAGCCAATGCCATTACTCTTTACTGGTGCGCCGCAGAAACCAAATGCAACGAACCTAAACTGTATATGCTGATACCCTGCCCGGGGGTAAAGATAGCATCTCCCCCTTGAGGAAGAAGTGGTCTCCTTCCTTTGCGCCACACATTATTCTCTTTCCTGGTGGGCAAACAACCTCGACCCGTAAATCGAATAGTTCAAAAGACATTGCTCTTCTCGAGTAGGAGATTGGAAGAGTACAGTATCAAAATTAGAACGACTTGATATTATCGCCTACACCGTTTTCCCAATGAGAAATGGGAGCCCTTTTTCCGTTCCAGCTGATTATCTTCTGTTGATGAAGCTGATGAGGTGGGGAAAATCCCGCAAATCCTTCTTCTGTTTTTGATCCCCATCTATTTAGGGTCCAAAAAAGCCCTTAGAGTCTAATACGACCTGATCAACAGAGTTTCTTCTCCCGATAAAAAAACAGCCGTAATAGTACAATTTAGATTCGTACGGGATTCTGAACATTGGAAACCCAGTATTCTAACCTCGAGAGCATGCAAACTATTCTTCAGTCGTCTACAAGAATGGATGGGAGCCATTATAGATGGCATGTATGCCTCTCAATTGACAGGCGTGCCAACCTAGACAATACTACGGCAAATGCGACGCTGGTCTTTTCCCCCTTACTTCGAGCCAATCTTCAGCTATGAAGTCAGATGATATTAATAATATTTGCCCTAAGATGGGGTGAGATTATTGAGTTAACAGGCCAACTAGTCGAATAAATCCCTAATTACATTCCATCTAAGCAGAGATCTCTACCTACAGCAGTATATAAGCTGAAAAGCCCTCACCGTTTCGTCAACTAAGACGTACCTTTTCTCGCGCAGTTTGATATCTCTTTGGTAGCTGACTATCTTCTTACCCCTAACGAAAAGAACCCACGGATCCAGCAGCAAAAGCCACCAACGCCGCGCGCCGCACCCTGCAATATCGCCAAACTGCCTGGTCAGTTCGCCAGACTTTGGAGACATGGATGGCAATTTGAAAGGGTGGGACAGGCATGATGAGAGACGCTCGCAAGGCAGCATAATAGTCGAGGTAAGATGCATTAGCGACGTTACTTTGTGCAATATTGCTGTTCCAAACGACGCAAATCTTTCCCCCTTAATAAGGCATTCCCAACTTCAATTACTAAGGATGGTTATATCCACGCATGATGGACCAACCTGTTTAATTATAGAGCTAATAAGTGACAAGATTACTAGACAAGATTACTAGACAAGCTTTGAAAATATATATAACAGTGAATGAATACAGAGAAACTAAAAAAAGAAAGGAGCAGTTACAGATATCCTTGTTTTAGGGTAGGTGATGGTGGCAATCCAAGTCGGGCACCCGTATGTGTAGACTTATGTCGCATGCCATCAAACATCCTCCATTGTTTTGTACAGTCACATGTGTTTCCCTATGCATGTAACCAAATCCAGCTTTACCAGAAAGCTTTCAGGAAACAAAAAGAGTTGCCCCCGGCCAGGCTCGAACTGGCGACCCTAGCATACCTCCAAAATTCTCCTGGAAATATAAGAGCTATATGGTAACCAACTCCACCACGGGGGCTTTGACAACTCGTAGTTTGTGGTCACGCGAGAGGTCAAATGGGTTCTTGGATGTTGCGGCTCTGCCGGTAGTAGCGGAGACTTCCATTTGTCTCTCCGCAGTGACCAAAGGGTAACTGGCTACCACCTCTTTAAAGACGATGCATTTTCTACTCGGTGAGGCATTAAATACTTTTATTCTGGCTATGTAGAAATTTATAACCGACATTGACTAAAATGCGCAAAGCTGTGTTGATACATTACCGAGTTATCATTACACAGATGGAACCCGCCTACGAACCAGATGCACTCGGCGGCATAGGATTCAACACCTAACGTATGCCAAGCTCCGAATTGATCTTTTACTAGTAGTGGAAGACACGACCCTGATTCGGTGTATCTATTCTTTACTCGATTTAGAGGTAGCTTGGCCGGTTCGTGCTCGTCGTAGTCTTCCAGTCCAAGTGCCGTTCTTGGACTATTTGGTAAGACAAGTCTCGTGATGTATTAGAGTAACTAAGTAATACTATCGGCAGATGAGAGTTTAGTTACCTAGTTTATATAACTTGAATTATAGGTAGCTATGTAAATCGACCTGATACAATGCCTCAGCTTAGAAGATATGATAATATAATCCTTTCCCTGCTATCCTGCTGCGACCCTGCGACCCTCCCTTTGCAGTTTCCACCAGTCTTCTTATAACTATCTCGAGTAACAGGTATTTAAATATGGTGTTGAATAGTACATATAGTAGTAGTAGTAGTAGTAGTAGTAGTAGTAGTAGTAGTAGTAGTAGTAGTAGTAGTATTATTTAATAGTACATATAGATACCCGCTCTATGCGCATTTACTGCCTCACCATAATCAACACCGCCACGGTACTTCTGATAGATATTGCCTAGCCCAATAATCACAGTCGTCATAGGGCTGTACAGCGATGCGGAGCGTATAGATAGAAACGTAGTCTTTCATGCCTGAACTCTTGTGAATGGAGGCTGATAGGACCGCGTCAGGCAGTAGGCTAGAGCGGTTTGCCGCACGGTCTGAGAACTGAGAGAAGTAGTTGAGATACCGGGAAGAGAGTTTCTTGTACTCCAAACGGAGGTCACTGTTTGTAGTTTTGTCGCGAAGCTCTTCTACTATCCAACACCATAGGTTCCCCTGGAATATTCCACACCAAACCTTGAAAGAAATCGAGGTTTCTCCGTGCATGCACTGCAGCAGAATGTTGCCTATAAACATGTTGTTCTCGCGAAATAAAAGCCCATCTTGCAGCCATTCCTTGTTGGGACACGCATCGATGAATTTAGTCTTGTATCCATCCGTCTCCCCAATCACAGGCTGAACCCGGCCCCAAAGCTCTCTAGCTATGGGGTGGCGAAGGGACACGTTCGAGGCTTCGATGACCCCATATGGATGTAGGAACATCTCGGTGAGCTCAAATTCGTTTATAAAATCTTTCCCAACGGGGAGTAGCGATTGTGACGAACGCCGACCAAGAATGTGAAAAGGTGACGACACGTCCTTTTGTAAGAAAATGCAAAGAAGCCGATCATCGATTTTGCAATACACCCACGCAATGGTGGGCTCGCTATCATTGCGTGGAGTTCTGACAGGGAGACTGACAAGTAAACCACGGCTGGTGAACCTTGGTGGTTCCTTGGGGACCAAGTGCTCGGCGAAGGCGTCCTGGAAGTTGTGCTTCTCTAGACACCCACGTGACTTTGTATATGCTTCATCGGATGTTTCTGCTTTAGAACGCTCTGAATTGGGCCCGGAACATTGTTCAATGAACTTGTACGCATCTGTCCATATAGAAGAGGCTGTGGCTGACTTGGACATTCGGGCTGCTTCGTTTCGGGCAGACATCCACACAGCATTTGATGACATAGTGTTGCGGAACTCGAGTGGGAATTCAGCAAGAAGGCCTCTAGGCGAGGCGTCGTTCTTGTACTGCAGCATCCAGGCGAAAATACTATAGTCTTCTTCTTGCCTCAGGATCAGCTCTTGAAGACGAATAAACGACCTCGTTCCCTCGCCATACAACGGCGGCATATTGACGTTGAACAATCCAAGCAGGGAGTACGCCCAATCCTCATATCTCGTCGTTTTTCTTTCCGACGCCCAAGACATTCTTTCTGCAACGCTGCAGGTCGAGATGTCGTCTCCCCGGAGGATGCGAGTTGGTATGCGTGTGATGGCGGAGATGCGGGATGCAAGGCTTGTCTTTGTTCCAATCTCTGACCACTCGGACGTGTAGAACTCGACGATCCGTGGCGCAAGAAGTTCCTGCAAGGTCCATCCCCTCTTGAACCACCGACTCTTGGAGATATCGGTAAACTTGCGTGATGATGATGATGATGAATCATCTGTTATATCCTGCAGATAGGCATAACAGATAGCCGACCACTTGTACCATTTATACATCGAGTTGATCGCGTCTGATAGCTCTGCGCTACTCGCTTTATTTATGCAGCACGTATCGATCCATACCCATTCAAAGCCCTCTTTGGCTGCCTTCTGGCAACAAGCCAAGACCTTGGCATACCCTTTCCTCCCAGCAGCAGTATTATCTTGGATGTTGTCGAACAGCACTTCGTCCTGTCCCCAGGTATGACTAAGAATCACGTACGTGGGAAGACTCTCATCATCAAACTCCTGCAGCTTCAAGGATGAAGTATTGAGAAGCCTCATCCTTGCAGTATCTGCTAGTTCAAAGAGAATCTAGAATCAGGCTGGTGCTTCGGTCAGCATGCAGGCTACTATACGTGACTACATGTGCTATAAACTCATGAAATACCTACCTAGGTATTTATGGGTATCACAACAGACCTGGATTTATTAAGTGGGTGGGAAGAGACTCGTTTGTCTGCTTGATGATCAAGGCAGCCTACATTGGTGCGGGGTACGATGCCATAACAAGACAAAGGTCTGCCCTTGATGGCTTGGATACTACTACCCTGCATATTTGTTCTTAACCACCCCCACCATAACTTCACTATCATACATCCTCAGAGTTGGAATATCGCCTAAGTAGAAGAGGAATGACGAATGCCTTGGCAGACCGAATCCTTCTAAACTCTACCCGGCACAGCAAAATTGGCCTACATGGCCCATGTATATGCCCATTTCAATCTTGATGGTAGTTGAGTTAACGACGGATTCTCTGGAATTCACCAAAATAATTAACAGCCAAATAATGACAGGCCATAGACTGGACGGATCATTTCTTCAATTAACATCACTCATTGTGATTCGTATACGTTAAGATGACTACTAATCTTTTAACAATGGCACATTAAACGTCTTCCTTGCCCTCCATGTGGAGCCTCTTCTTCTGATTGGAAGGAATCCTGTTGCTCAGGTCGCCAACGGGTAGGTCGAGCGGAAAGTCCACAGAGGAAAGCAGCTGGACGAAGAGCAAGTACCATCCGAACACGCAGAACACGAAGACACATGCGCCAGCAGTCTACATCAGGTCAGTCAAGTCTCCGTCAGAATAGTTACATCAGAGCTTACCTTGGAAAGCGTTTCGAACATCTCAGCGTTACCCTCAGCACTCTCCCAGTAGGCGGCAGTAAGGAGAAACAAGGCCAAGTCGAGGAATAGGAAGATGATGAAGAAGACCACGTTGGTTCGTAGAGAGCAGATGAGGTACATGAAGACCAAGAGACCCATGAAGAGGAGGAAGAATGCTAGACTGGCCTGGAAGCTATGAACACCGGCCAGCTTTTCGGCGGCAGTCGTCGCGCCAGCAGTGAAGGCGCCCTCAGCATTGTAGAAGGGGGTCAAAGTCGCAGCGAAAGCAAGCCAGAAAGCGCCTTGGAAAGGGTCAGTCAATGAGTGCTCAACTCACACGGGTGAATAAGTGTGACTACTTACCGAAAGAGCCAAAGACGATGTAGACGAAAGTATTGCCAATGATCCACTCAAGAACAGCACCGATGATCTGAAGCATACCACCGAAGAAGTACAAAGCGCCAATGGTACCGGCACCACCACCTCCAGCGCCGCGCCATCCCATCAAAGCACAACCTAGAGGGGTGGAGGCAATGAGGAAACCGACTAGAGCCAATGGTGTTGGGTTGGCAAAGGTTCGGCGAAGGTCGCCAGAAACCTTGTTGGCGGGATTCAAGTAGAGCTTCTCAAAGAGCTCACTCGTGAGGGTGACGCTGGGCATGCTCTGCAGAGGAGACATGACGTTGACAGAGTCACTGTCCTTCTTGGATAGGTTGGTTGGGTAAGACATGTCGGCGGCTGTGAAGGATTGCTGAGGACTGATCTCGCAACTCAGTATTCTCTGCTGGCACAAGAACCTGAGAAGGAAAAGCTGGCATCACGGGGGCGGGAAGTGGACGATATTAAATGGCAAATCACCCTGCTCAGATACACAATATCAGGGTAGGGATGGACGACTACTACAACACACCAGCATGAAACCGTGTGATCTCATTAAGCATCATGCATTAGCTCTCTCCACTTGCCGTTGCTGACGCTGTGGGGCGAAAAGTGCAATTGTCTGCTTTGGGATGGCATCTCTCTCATGTTCAGGTATACAAGGGGGGTCAGGTACCCAGCTCATTAGATCTTCAGTATTGATACAGGTGATAGGTCAGGCTATGTCACCTGATGCAAGAACACAAGCGGGGGAAGTTGAATGCTGGTAGGGGCTGTATCTACTTCAAGAGATAAAGCTTGTATTTCCATGCACGTACTTGACTCGTGCCGGTAGGGAAACCGGGTTGGGAGGCTGGATGGAGATGACCGCAGGGCTGTCCCGTTACTATCATGGGACTAGCTCAAGGGGAGGAGTTTGAATCAACACATGGATACTCTTAAAAGCCCTGTTGCAGATGTCAGGACAATTGTTAGCATCAAGCTTTCTTTTTCCCCTTCTTTTTCCTTTTTTTCTTTCCTTTTTGCGCCCTCAATCTCATGTCAGCAAGGGGGTGATGCCCATTCGTCTTATCGTATTTCATTAAGAAGAGTGAGTGTGCTGCATAGGACCAGGGACGGACAAATT